GTTTGGGCTGTTTCACCTGGGTGGCGATGAAGTATATACAGGTTGGTCTGCTTCTCTTGCCTAACAGAAGGAAGTTTGTTAGTAAGAACTTGAAAGTTACAAGTTCCGAGAGTGGAGCAATTATCTTCCAATTAAACTGCTACGTAAGAGAGAACCTCTTATAGGAATCTTGTGTGGTTGTACCAAATAGAAATACCTCAGTTCAAATTTGTAGGTTGTATGTGCCTTAAAAGGGACGCATGTTATTTGTGTGGGAGAAATTTAACCTGATCCAATGAAGTTGCCACATAAGTAGGTGTATACCAGTTCTACATGTTTTTGGGTACAGGATGATAGAAAGATATATAAGTAGGTGTATACCAGTTCTACATGTTTTTGGGTACAGGATGATAGAATGATATATACTGTTATATGAATGTTCTGCCGTCTTACTGAGGCTTTGTTGTTTCTCTGAAAATTATCCACCTCATTCTGATGTCCATCGCAGGCTGCTGGAATTTAACACCCCATGTGAAGCAGTGGTATGAATTACTATCTGTGTACTAGATTTCATGAATTATTTTTCAATCTTGTGTTAGACGGTCATTTCGTTTAATTACTGAGCACCACCTATGCCAGGCTTGATGAACGCAACATGACTACAAAGGATGCTTACAAATACTTCGTGCTGAAAGCTCAGGAGATAGCAATTGATCTTAACTGGATTCCTGTAAATTGGTCTGTGCATTACATCCTTCCTTGAATTTATTTATTTTATTTAAAAGAGAAAGAGGTTTCATTTTACCATTCGTCTGTGGCATTGGGACCCTCTTCATTCTGCAGGGAGGAAACCTTCAACTCATTCGGAGGAAGCCTAAATCCCCGGACTGTTGTGCATAACTGGTAATTCATAAGTCTGTTTTGAGAAACTGAATCAGTTTGCGACAACCATCTTCAAATACCCATTATCCAAGATAATTTGCGCATAAGCTGAATCTTCCCATATTTCAGGTTGGGTCCTGGGGTCTGCCCTAAAGTTGTTGCAAAGGGTTTGAGATGTATAATGAGTAACCAAGGTGTATGGTACCTTGATCATCTTGATGTTCCGTGGGAACAAGTCTACACTGCCGAGCCACTTGCAGGAATAGACGACGCAGCGCAGCAAAAGCTGGTACTGGGTGGAGAGGTTTGCATGTGGGGTGAGACGGCAGACACCTCCGATGTCCAACAAACAATATGGCCACGAGCAGCTGCGGCAGCAGGTATGAACTATACAAGTTGGGAGGCTTTCGTTGCATCCTCCTTTTTCTTTCAAATATTTCTCTCGGAGCTTATGTGTCGCTATCGAAATAATGCAGAGCGTATGTGGAGTCAGTTGGAGGCCATATCCGCCCAAGACCTGGAAACAACCGTCCTTGCTCGGCTACACTACTTCAGATGCCTGCTGAATCACCGCGGGATCGCTGCAGCCCCAGTCACAAACTTCTATGCTCGGCGGCCTCCAATCGGCCCTGGCTCGTGTTTTATCCAGTAACACAGATCATGCAACGCGTAAGATACACATGAGGGGGTATGGCCGCGCCTCGATACACACACCCCCACACTGTACCAAAATGGTGTCGTCACCTCTACTGTATCACTTCTGTAAGTTCACTTGCATCCATATTACCCCATACACCTGTGACAATAAAAGCCCTTGATCCTTCCCCGTGTATTTCACCCCGAAACTCCAATAAAACCACCCCAGCCTTGCTCCATCCGACCGGAGAAAAGGTGGTCGCCGATGTAACAGTACCATTCGCGCGCCTTTTCAACAGTCGTGTTTGTTGAACACGAGTTTCCGGATCAACATTTGCAACTGGCCAATAGGGCCAAGCAGGGCTCCCTTTGAACTGGTAAAAGAGAGGTGATGTGAATCTCTCAGTGTGTGTGGATATTTCAACTGTCTCTGCTTACCCTACTTGCATTTGGATATTTTGGACCCCCACATCACTGTCATTCACCACCCTTTTCCTGGATTTGTCTTTGACCTGAAAACACACACCCTTGCTTGCCCCAGCGCCCTCGCTGGTCCAGGATCGCATTAATGGCGCGTGCGATTCACGACAACATGCTCGCCGTCCCTTGCTTGGAGATGAGAGCAAAATTCCCGGCCATTTATCGCCGAGAAGGTAGGAAAAACCGTTCCCGAAAACGAAGAAAAGTTTTGGTCATTTGTTACAGGTCGTTGTCCTCCCATGTCGCCATCCTTTGGCCATATATATCTGCTGCCCTTTCCCCCCTCTGCCCATTGTTTAGTTTTGCAGTGACGCTGAAGCAAGGTATATACTGCCATAAATAACTGGGTTGCTGTCTGAAGCCTTTTTCTGTGTACCGGAAATGAGAGAAAGATTGGCTCTTGCCTCTTGGACTACTGATGCTGACCGAAGAATTTGTTTAGGATAGTGGTATTTTTCATGGTCTCTGATCATGACGTCTATCTACTACTCCCTCTGTCCCAAAATAAGTGTCTCAAGCTTAGTACAACTTTACACTAAAGTTAGTACTCCCTCCGTCTCAAAATTCTTGTCTCAAATTTGTTTAAATACGGATGTACCTAGTTATGTTTTAGTGTTAGATACATCCGTATGTAGACAAATCTAAGACAAGAATTTTGGGACGAAGGGAGTACAAAGTTGAGACACTTATTTTGAGACGGAGGGAGTATTTGCTGGTAGTAGTAGCCTCATTTCTCGCTCGCCCTACAGGAAAAGCATAATTTTTTTTCTCCGGATGATACCAAAAATGGTTTAGGGCTCGTTTGGAACACATGAATTCAGGCGTAGATTATCGTTTTCAGAAATGGGTTTTCTGCCAAATTTTGCGATAAATTACCGTTGTTCCAAGCATTCCCATACGATATACAACGGCCTCTCACCCTTGATACAAACAAAAGATTGAGAACCGAAGAAGAAAGTTCGGAATAAAATAATTTGTTAATCCCTCTGTAAAGAAGTATAAGAGCGTTTAGATCACTATTTCTGAAAATGATGTTGTACGTAGCTGAGGGGGAAGTCTGATAATTATATCGTTTTTTACGGTCACTGAGTGTGGAGTGAGCATGACCGTTCATAACAGTGACAAGTGCGTGCACAAGGAGACAAGGAACCTTACGTATTGACCAAGATTGGAATTATTATTTCTGAATCAACAAACAAACCAAAGGTGTACGAACAAATTTTAATTATTGGCCTTGACCAGCTGACCCACAGATATAAAACAAAACAAGAGCATGCGACCAGCTATAGAAACGCTTAGACTTATCATACGTTCCATGCATGCATATCCGCAGTAGATTGTTGATTTGACCAACTCTCTTTAAGAAAATGGATAGATGAACACCGAACAATCCAACCTGCCGGAGAAAAGAGGCGTTGCAAACGAATTATCATGCCGTCCAAGTGAGCATATGTTCATTCTAATGCAAAAATTGATGTGATATTATAATGCTTTCATCTCGAATTCTGGCTTTGTGCCTTCCTCCTTACAGTTGTAATTTGACCAATTCACAGTACTTGTATGATAAAACGCCTGTGATATTACGTGAGAAATGGTGCATGTCGACACCATGTGATGTCCTTCATAATCAAACCTCTATGCGTATTTTCGGCTTTGCGTGCCTTCCTTCTATACTGTGCCAGTACTTAATATCGCCCGTTTCCACCACGTTTTTGTCCCGGTTTTTGGCTTTGCGTCTTACTTTCGGTCATGATACTATCAATTTTTGGCCATGCTTGTATGATACTCCCTCTGCAAATAAATATAAGAGCGTTTAGAGTGATCTAAACGCTCTTATATTTATTTACGGAGGGAGTAAACAGTAGTGATATTGCATGAGAAATGGTTTGTGTCCACACCAGTGGCGGAGCTTGGGCCAAATCTTTGGAGGGGCAATGGGCCAAGGAAGGGCAAAACTATGAGGTTTACCCTGTTTCTACTGAACATATAGCATAGAAACTAACGCGTATTAGGTGATTTTTTCTTGGGCTGGGGGGCCACCGCCCAGGTTGGCACCCATGAAGCTCCGCCACTGGTCCACACCATGTGAGGTCTTTGATCGCTGAACCTCCATGTGTGTTTTCCACTTTGCGCCTTCCTTTCATAACGTGGCAATACTTAATTTTGTCTGTTTTCATCCTGGTTTCCGAACACACACACCCTCCTTTCTATTCTAGGGGGACAAACTCCAAATAACTCGAGTCGGCGCCGTGCCAGCACTTAATCTCACCGGTTTCCACCGCCCTTTCATCCCGATTTTTGGCGTCGCGCCTTCCTCTCCTAGTATGGCGGTACTTAATTTCATCGGTTTCAACCCCGCCCTTTCATCCCGATTTATGGCTTTACGGCTTCCTCTCGTAATACGATGACACTTAATTTCGTCCGTTTCGACCCGATTTTCGGCTTTCGGCCCTCCTTTCTACTCTAGGGGGGCAAAAAGTTTGGCCACTAATGCCACAAATTAGCCGTTCCCCGTGGCCATTGCCCGAAGAGCAGGTGCACCTAACATTTTGTCCAAAGGGGGGCAGCCCAACTTGTCCCGTTCCCCCTCTCGCGTCGAGGCCAGTCAACACGACCACCCCCGTCAAACCCGGGGCCCACCACAAGCGCTCTTCACCGTCCGATCGTCTCCACGCACGGATCTCGAGGCGCATCCGACGCCCTCCTCCTCAAAACCCTCACCCACTTTAGCTTCTGGCCTTCTTCTCTCGCCCTCCTCCTTCCACCTTCCTCTTCCGTCCCCTCCCTTCCCCGAGACCGGCGCCGCCCGATCTCCCGATCTGCTCGCCCCGGCCCGCCGAGGATCCGCGCGGGGCGCTCCCTATTTGCGGCGCGGGTGGTGTGCGCCTGGATCAGGTACGGTTTCTGCGGATTTGTTTGGGAAATTTTGGTTCTTGGGGGCGGAGGGATGGGGAATAATGGCGTTTGAATCTTGTGGTTTGGTCGGCGCAGGTGGGCGTGGGGGCGCGTGGGATTCGTGGCCCATGGCCAACCCCGACGACGGCGGCGGGCGCAAGTTCTGGCGCTCCGCGTCGTGGTCGGCGTCGCGGGCCGCCGAGGCGGCGGGGCCGGAGGCGGCGCCGCTCCCGCCCCGGATGGGCCCGCCGCCGCTCACCCCGCGGTCCAAGGGCCGGGCCTGCCTCCCGCCGCTGCAGCCGCTCGCCATCACGCGCCGCAGCCTGGACGAGTGGCCCAAGGCGGGCTCCGACGACGTGGGCGAGTGGCCCAACCCCACCACCCCGGGCGCCTCCAAGGCCGGCGGCGGCGGCCCGGGCTCCGCCAAGCCGGGCGAGGGCCTCCGGCTCGACCTCTCCACCCTCCGCTCGCAGGGCCGCAAGGACCAGATCGCCTTCTTCGACAAGGAGTGCTCCAAGGTGGCCGACCACGTCTACCTCGGCGGCGACGCCGTCGCCAAGAACCGCGACATCCTGCGCAAGAACGGCATCACCCACGTCCTCAACTGCGTCGGCTTCGTCTGCCCCGAGTACTTCAAGTCGGACCTCGTCTACCGCACGCTCTGGCTGCAGGACAGCCCCACCGAGGACATCACCAGCATCCTCTACGACGTGTTTGATTACTTCGAGGACGTGAGGGAGCAGGCCGGGCGCGTGTTCGTGCATTGCTGCCAGGGGGTGTCGCGCTCGACTTCGCTCGTCATAGCGTATCTGATGTGGAGGGAAGGGCAGAGCTTCGACGATGCGTTCCAGTTTGTGAAGGCCGCCAGGGGGATCGCGAATCCGAACATGGGGTTTGCCTGCCAGCTGCTCCAGTGCCAGAAGCGGGTGCATGCCATTCCATTGTCCCCAAACTCAGTGCTCAGGATGTATCGGTTGGCGCCTCACTCGCCCTATGCTCCATTGCATCTAGTGCCCAAAATGCTGAACGAGCCCTCGCCTGCCGCCCTGGACTCTAGGGGTGCATTCATAGTTCATGTGCTCTCGTCGATTTATGTTTGGGTTGGAATCAAATGCGATACAGTAATGGAGAAGGATGCGAGAGCGGCAGCTTTTCAGGTGGTGAGGTATGAGAAGGTGCAGGGGCAGATCAAAGTTGTCAGAGAAGGGTTGGAGCAACCTGAGTTTTGGGACGCCTTTTCCAGTGCACCTGTTAATTCAGACAGCAAAATGAAGCTTGGCAAGGAGCAGATCGATTCACCATCCAGGACTGGTGTGGGAAGCCGGAGAGTGGAATCTTATGATTCTGATTTTGAGCTCGTCCAGAAAGCGATAGCTGGGGGTGTTGTTCCAGCATTCTCGTCTTCTGGTACTGGAGATGAGACCCATCTTCCAGCGAGAGAAAGTAGCTGGAGTTTACTAAGGCGCAAGTTTATCTCGAGATCACTATCTCGAGTTTATTCGGATTCTGCTCTGATAAGGGATTTGGATCCACGGGTACAGCACTTGACTGCAGAGGCATCAATATCACCGCCTTTCCTTTCTCCGAGCTCTCTATCATCAGATTCAACCATCAGTTCAAAGTACAGTTCAGACTCACCCTCCCTGTCACCTTCAACTAGCTCCCCGCCGTCACTTGGTCTTTCACCTGCTTCATCTAATTTGCCACATGCTTTGGTGCCATCATCTAGGTCTCCTCTTCGCCAGTCATCTAATGCGGAACATTCAAAGCCTGTCCTGGGATCAATACGCTCTCCGTCCAAGGTCTCATCTATAGCAGAAAGAAGAGGGGGATTTTCAGGTCTGAAGCTACCATCACTCCCAAAGGAGCTAGTATTGCCACCAAGGGCGCCATCTATTCACAAAGCAGAGGAAGTCATGGATAAGACTAATACCAATGGTGTGAAACAGCTTACTGGTGTTTCTTGCCCAGACAAATGCACCGAAACTAGTTCAACGGCAACTGACAGCAACTCAGAGGCTACTGCCCACGGTGAGACCATAGTAATTGAGCATACTAACTCAGAGACCTGTAATTATGTTCAACTACTAGTCTACCGATGGCCCTGCATGGAGAAGCTGACTGCATTCGCTCGCAAGGATCTTGACCCAAAAACAGTTTTTATTTTTGTTGCTCCTAATGCCAGCAGAAGTGCAGAAGCAGTTAAAACGGTATGCATATGGGTAGGAGGTGAATATGAGTGCAGCAAAGGCGTTGACAGTATTGATTGGCAGCAAGTTGCTGGTGATTTTCTTAATCAAAAGGGGTTCAGCAATACTCTTCCTGTTAAGGTGCGTACATACTATACACATTTCTTTTTTGTATTCTGGCCTGCTTGTTTACTTGTATGTTTAGGTGCCACTTGATATTTGTCAATACCGTAGGAGATAGAAAACTACTTTGTTTTTTTGTCCTAGTTTTTAGATGACTGCCAAACTTTTCGCACAGTTAGATGACCTGTATTTAGTGACAACATGCTCAGATATGTTTTCACAACTGCCAAACTTTTGGCAAGTGGAATTGTAGATAGTACCATTAATGTTTATTATTCAGGAAAAAAGGCCATATATTATGCTATTATTCTGTGGTACGATTGTACACAGGCTAATCATGTCATGGCACTTTGAAAAAATGTAGTTCTATATTCATCACAAATTGCATAAATGCCTACATCTTAAGCTCCAACTCTTGGTAACTGGTAATACTTCTAGAAAAATTAGCTGAATCAGAAAGCCAAACTGTTTTTCTTTCTGTAAAACGAATACACCATGGTAATGACTATTTGGAGCTATCTTTTATCTAAAGTAATCACTAGACAGAGATGTTGGATATGTTCATATATGATTATGGATCACAAAATTCACAGCCTCATATAGGAACAGAATGTTGAGGCATCTTAGCAAGGGGAAGTCCTGTCAGTTTACTTCCGCAGCTGCTATGTGTAATTAGCAGGTATACACTTGTAACCCTGTTGATGTTTAAACAATGCAGGTTTTCAAGGAGCATGAAACCGAGAATCTTTTGGAGGTGCTGGATGCTCGTTAACAGTAGGTCAGGGTATTCTACTAGCTTAACAAACAGCCGCAAACTATCAATTCAATGAAGGCATTTCCTCCAGCATCGCTCCATGTAGTGGCGACTGTCAGGCGAGGTATAAGCCGTGACAACCGTTCCCTCCTGAACATATAGGCTACAGATTCCATTTTAGTAGAACAGATGGATTGGCAATTTGTGCCTTGCCTTTCTTTTCCTTCCCAAACTTGCTTGTGTCAAAACGGCAGGAGGCTGCCAGAGCGTTGGATCTGTGTGAATTAACACACAGAGATTGGGTTTTGGCGTAAGCGGGTGTATATTATCTGCTTCACTGTAATGTAAGCCCATAGGCCGGGAGATCGCTGGTGTCGTTTTTACCCCCTGAAAATCATGTACATCTCAGGGAAGAACAGATTTGTAATCCTCTTGGCCTACAGGCGTCTCTGCTGGTCTTAACTTCTTAACCTGGAACTTGGCTATTTGCTGTCCTGCTCATGGCGTATTAGCACTGTACTTCAGACTCTGGTCATATTCATACTCCCTCCGTCGGAAAATGTTTGTCATCAAAATGGACAAAAAAAAGATGTATATAGAACTAAAATACATCCAGATACATCCCCTTTTATTCATTTTGATGACAAGTATTTCCGGACGGAGGGAGTACTAGCTATCATCATACAAAGTTCCCAGTTTCCAAGAAATTGTCATTTAATTTCGTTGTTGCTTGTCCTTGTCAAATTCATGCAGCCAATATTCCAAGGAACACTTGCACAGCAATTGTGTGCTGATCCTTCCAATTGTCATTCAGTTTTTCTTCTTCAATTTGTTAGTGACAGACAGGGTGCGAATTTGTTTGTGCTTTTCAGAAGCCTGCTTCTGCGTGGTAAAGTGCGATAGTGTGGAGATTGGAGACGACATTAAAATTGGGAAAGCAAAGCAAACACTGGTTCAGGAACATTTTTAGTATTCATTTTAGTAACATAGTAGTTCATGTAAATTAAAGCAATTCAAAACATGTGGTGCCATGCAATTCCAAGGGAACCAAAATTACTTAAACCATCAAAGAATACCAAGGAAGCATTACATTAATAATATCGGCAAATCTGAACAATGCCTATTACATTAATTGAACTCCACATGAAACGAAACAATAGTACGAACAATAGAACATATACTGTAGATCAAAGCAGTACGTACATGGGTTGCGGTACACCAGTCGTGAAGGACATAATTTCTGCATCCACTGCATTAGGAAGAACATTAATTCCTGCATCCATTGCATTGCATGGTTGTTGTGTTGAACTGTATTTGAAGACAGTGCCCTTTCTCTTTCTTAAAAGGAGGTGCAGCCAGAAGGAAATGTAGTTGCTACTAGTAACCAAGAGAAACCTCACCAGGAACTTTGGTAATGGATGCAAAATGGGGGCAATCACTGCGTAGTAGACGACTAGTAGTAGCACACATCTCTAGTCTAAGTTTGGGAGGCATCATGGAACGCAACAATAGTACGAACACAGAACGCAATTTACTCCTGCCACGCCTAGGACACTTGTCGAGCTCGTACAACAGCAAACATTGTGCAAACATAGACCATATAGTTGTTTAACTATATTCCTAGTTTTTGTTCTTGTGGCCGTCTTCTTTAGTCTCAGTGTCGAGGCTGCAGAGGCGCAAACTAAGACAATGGTTAGGGAATGACACATGAGTCAGTAACATCACTATGTACAAACGATCACAGAAAATGAATCATGTTACACAAATCATTAACTCTGGTAAATCATGGAAATTTGCA